AAACTCAATCTCTTGTTAAAATAATTAAACTGTACATAGGACAGAAAAGAGTGTCAGTGATTTGGTTTCTTAGACATCTAATAAGAGAACAAAATTATATATTGATGATAAAAGACTGTGAGCCAGGCACAGATGCAGGACAAGTGCTGTGGAAAAGCCTATTTCGATAGTGTCTGGGAATTTTAAGCTCTGGAGAAAAGACTGAGCTAAAATTAATAAAAATGTCATTAGTATATATTCTTTGGAAGATTATTGGCTACACGTGAAAGTTTGGTAAATCAGACTTTGAGAATTTTAAAAAACTTCAGACTTAAGGAAAATCCTTTCCTACTTGTTGAATGTGGTCATTTACTCCCACTTTATTCATTGCATGAAGGCAAATTTCTTCTTTGTTTTCTTATTCACATGTAGTCTATATTATCACAAATAATCACAAGGAAGTCATGATCCTCCAAGATTTATTCAATATACAAATCCTAATTTACATTAGGTTTTGCAGAAATGTATACTAGTGAATGACATATCCTTGTGTAAAAAGTACTATAATTAATGAAATGATTTTCAGTTCAATATATACATGCAAAACTTTGTCTACAGTTAATTAATTAAGGTGCTTTTATGCACCTTACATAGTCAATATTCAGGACGTTTAGAGAATTAGCCATTTGAGAGGAACATAATCTTTGAACATAACATGGTAGATTCATTATCTATAAATCTGCTTATCTATTACTATTCACTCTATGATCTTGAAATTTTATGCACCATGAACTGATGGGGAAAACTAGATTCATAAATAACAATTCTGTTACAATTTAGTGTAGTTCTCACTGGCTGAAAATCTTCCCCAAAATCACTATCTGAAACCTATTACTTTAGAAAAAAGTCTTTTAACATATTTTTCACTCTAGTATAGGAAAGCTTTGAAACAAATTCCTATATGAACTCTAAGAAAATTAATTTTAAAGGGGAGAGGCAGAACCTTAATCTCCAGAAGTATCAGCCTAAGAAAGAATAAACTTTACAAGGAAATAATATCTGAGTATCTCTGAAAAAAGAAAAAGTTGTTTAAAATGTTTGCATTCTACAAGTGGGTACAGCCTAAAAATGACTCAAAAAGAGGAATTTTATGAAGAGATAAAAACGTGAATGCAAATGAATTGATTTAAAAATATAGATATAAACATATTGCCTACAGTCATTCAGCATTGTATGTTGGCTGACTTTGTATTATCTCTTAAAGTACAATCATAATTTCCCTATGAATAAAACAATGAAGTTCTTAAGATACTCAAAGATTCTAATCAAATTTCATTTTAGAGCTAGCAATCTATTAGAGTATTAGGGCTAAATAAAGCTGATGTTAAATCAGAAACTAATACATGCTATTTTTCATAGCAGAAGCTTTGTAAATTACAAGTTCTTCTGTATTTTTTGATACTAGATTTGATACACTTAAAATAAGCAGTATTCTCCAACCAGAACTCTTATGCAATTGTTTATACAAGTTTTAGAGCTTATAATTCAATCTAATGCTCAATCTTTACAAAATAAACAAGAGGATTTGATATTTGATTTGCATTTCCTACTTAGTATCTTGCATAATAAAATTGTATTTGTTCTGTGTTTCAAGACATGGGTTTTGCTCTGTGAGGTTTCATAAAGAAGCAACTTTATTGTATTTACTTTTGGTTACTAATGATCATTAATTTTAACACTAACATTCTGCTACAGTCTCATTCCAGTTGTTCTATTTATCTCAAAGATAGACTTTATATATTACCATTACAAAAAATAACTATTTGCATAATACTTTATGATTTTACATCTATCACAAGTACATCACAGGGAGTCCAAGGATGCATTCAGCAGCTTGTCACTCAACATTTCAAGACCCTTCAGAACCAAACAAGGGGGAGGGTGACACTGCTAATGGTAAAAGTGCAAAAATGAATATAAATAACAAAACTTGAAGTTGAAATAATACAGAAGAAAAAATACCAACAAAAAGAGGATGATTCATGAGCATAAATAAAACAGTTTCAACTTGTAAAACTCCCTGTCATCTATAAAGAGCAAGTTTTGCAGATTTATGCAACTTCTGCTACAGTAACCACTTAAATTATCTAAGACTATGATACCATAAGAGAAATTACTATTTTTTGCTGGGTTGTAAAAATCAGTATCAGGTAATATTAAAGTTCCTCCTATTTACAGAATTCAGGTTTTCCTCAGCTTTGTGAAATGATCTAAATATCATTTCTCCATTAACTAGCCATAACCCTATAAATATGCATACTAAGAATGTTTAAGAGAAAAATAATGACATATGTTTAGAAACTGTTATAATTTCTTCTTGGTAAGAGAATTACAGAGAAAATTATTTAAAGCTTCTATATTTTATTCCATAAGCATCACTCCAGATAAAATGCATAAATACTGAATGCTCAGTTATGTCATCTCTAAACCAAATACCCACAGCACTTGCAGCTTTCTGTAAACAACATGCCTCTATCTACATATCCCCTGGGCCTCTGTCTACTTAATTTAATATTTTTTTAAATGCTGTTTCAAAGTGCAATATAATACCACCATCTTAAACACACATGCTCTGAAATGTGCAGAAAAGGAAGGAGGGGAGCGCAGGGAAGACATGGAGCACGTTGTTGTTTTTCATTCATGCAGTATAGTGATGTCAGTGTCTGCAGCAGCAGTGGCAGTGGCGGGAGCCCTGACCAGTGAAGGCTAAAATGCATTGAAGTCAGAACCTTGCAGAATTCAAAAGAAAATGAGTGATCATTTGAAAAATTAAATCAGCTACACTATGGATTTTAAATAGCTAAGTAGACAGAATAGATTAGTTGTGTAGTTTTAATATGGGTAGAAAGGAACAAGGCAGGATGTGGAGAAGAAACATAGGGGTAATATAATCAGGGAACTTAGAACACAAGAGCCTACATTCAAAATCACTTCAATGGAAGGAACTGACAAAACCACCTGGTGTTAAAAACAGAAAAAAAAAATCTCTACCAGAAAAAGCCCTTCAATTCCCAACACAAGCTCACTGGCACTGCAAATCTGTCTACTGCACAGCCAGACTCAGAAAAGTGTTTTCATCATGATTGCATTAAAATTGCATTAAACTGGGGATGTGCCATGCTACAACAAAGAGGAGAGTTTAAGCCTGATCACAAATTTCATTGAAACTACTTGATGATGGGCCATGTAATTCCTAAGCAATTAGGGCTTTTGAAGGATTCAGAAAAACAAGTTGTACTATTATCTGCTGTAAGATGTTACTGTTTATCAACAAAAGGGAAAGAGGTACTAGATGGCCACTTTATTGTTGCAGCAATTGCCTAAACTTCTCTTATCTGCCCACAAAATCCTCTGTACACAATCTGCAATGCTTATTTTATCTCTTACACCAGTTCCTTAAAGAAAAATCCCAAAACTCAATTTATGCATTATTAAAGCTAAATCACTCAAAAATGTATGTAATTGCTGCCTTTTCAGTTACCTCTCCTATAATACAGCTCAAGAAAATGTGCAGGAGAGTTGCATATGGCATTAATCTGTTAGAAAATGGTGGCCTTTTCTATAAAATACAGCCAAAGATGTGTGTTCATTATTAGGGCGATCACGTTGTTTTCATTCATTCATTCAGGATTTGCTGGAGGATGTCAGTTCTGCAGCAGCTGGCTTGACCTGGGGGAGGAGTGGGGGAGCAAATTTCTCCCAGCGCATACAGATTACAGCATGTATTTCTTGATGTTCTTATACGGAGCCCACTGCACTGCATCCTACACTGGGGTTCACCATCAAGTAGTCTGAAAACAAGTGGCTTAGGAGCATGCTAATTACAGGTCTCAAACATTAAAACTAAAAACACCAAAACTGTGGTCATAACACAATCACTTTCTTCTATTCTAACAGCTTCATCAAGAAAAGTCCACTAAAAAAAAAATTCCACATACCACATAAACACTGTACGGAGCTTGACTGTGTTTCTCCCTTGCAAGTAGAGATTTTTCCACTCAGTGTGGTCCCTTCCCTCCACAATGCAGCAGCAGCAGCAACTGTAGCTCTAGGCTGGGATCTAATAATATTAGCTACTCCACTCCCTCATGGGCTGTAAGTCCCTGTTTTGGCTAATCTTCTCTTTCTCCCCGAGGACTCAACTAGATAGTGCACAGTGTACCTTGACATAAACAAAACCAAACCAAAACAGAAAACATTAAAGAACGCCCAGAGCACCCACTAGCGCACCATTACCTTTGACACCTAACAAAAAAAAAAAAAAAAGAAAGAAATTTGGTCTTTACATTGCTCAACTGTTAAGTGTACTTAAAAATGAAAACAAAACAAAAAGTGAACAAACTTCACAAACAGTTTTTAGAAATTTATCATGAAAATCATGAGTTGGGCACAAGCCGTTTCTAGTGCAGAACTGCTCTGATGCACGACTGTATCAAGTAGAGGACAGCGAATAAAAAAAACCCTAAATACTGTGCTTCCATTACACACTTAAAAGTGTTCCATCTCCACCATAACTAACACCATCAGCTTATCGAAAAAGAAAAAAATAATTACAGGCACGTTAGGAACTTTGCAGGAAAGCACAAAGAGGCTGAAGAGATTACTACCACCACCTTATCCGCCGCTGGAGAGTTTGTGTGCGTGTTTAAGTGTTTTCGCCCAGCGCCTCCTTCCCTGGCTACAAACAGCAAATACAAGAGAAAGCTACTCAGCTCTCCAACTGAAAAACCTTTCGACGCAGGCGAAGGATGAAGAGAAAATCTGCGGGGCGTCAGGAGGGTCAAATCAAAGTTGCTCTGCAGTCCGCTCCTCCGAGCCCCGCAGTGACCGCAGGGGGGTGAGACTCCCAAAGCCACTTTCACACCTCGGTCGCGCACTAGCAAAGAGCGGCGGAGAGGCTCGAGTTTCCAGAGGGCTCCGTCGGGGAGACCGGCCCGGGCGCGGGAGGGTTGGCTCGCTACCTCTGCACACGGGCGAGCCGGGGCTCCGTCTCTCAGGTGAGCTGCTCCGGCGGTGGCTCTCCGGGGAGCAGCGCGGGCGGCCCTTGGCCCGCGGCGCCTGCTCAGCCGGGGCTGCGGCGGGCGGCGGCGGTGTCGGGCTGGGCGGGCTGGGCCCCGGGAGGCTGACGAGCGCGGCGCTGGCGGGCGGGCGCGTGGGGCTGTGCTGGCCGCCGCGCAGGAGCTGGAAGGGCACCGTGGCGCGGATGGGCTGCAGCAGCCGCCCGGCTCCAGCAGCCGGGGCACAACCCACGCCGCTCGCACCGTTCCCGCTCCCGGCGGCGGCGACAGGCGGGGAGCTGGCGGCGCTGCGCCGCATCCTCTGCGGCGCGGGATGAGGGGTCTGAGAGGAACTGGAGGAGGAGGTGGACATGGTGGACGCCGCCGACACCAAGCGCGGCCGGGCGGGCGCGAGGAGCCGAGAGGCGAGGGTGCGTGCAAGCGAGCGAGGGGGAGGGGCGGCGGGCGGAGTCTCGGGCCCCCTGCCCGCCCGCACCCGCCGCCCGCGGGGGAGGGGAGGCCGCGAGGACAAACGTCCAAGGGCCCCAACCGCCGGCTGGCTCGGCGTGGCGGTCACGGCCGGAGCTGTGCGGAGCGCAGCGCCGCCGCCGCCCCCGGCATCGCGCTGACAGGGAGGGCACCGGCCGGATCCCGCAGCCTCCTCCTCAGCCCTCAGGGCTGCAGCGGGAGAGAGCCGGGCAGCTGCAGGCAGGGCCGAGACTCCTGCCTCGAGGGACGGAAAAGGGCCTCCAGGTGCCTTGCGCCCGCAGACCCGCGCCAACCGCAAACGCCGCCGCCTCTACGCGCTTCTCACTCAGAATGGCAACTAATTCTCCACTCGTACCCCGCCCCCAGCACCGCCTCCTAGGGCTTCGACCCCGCAGCTGCCACAGCGAGCATCCCCATTGGCCTTGCTGCTCCCCACCAGAAAGCGACTGATTGGTGCTATGCTAAAAATGAGAGGCGCTTCTACCAATGAGAATGGTGAATCCTGCTTTAGGGGCGGAGCGTGGGAGAGTGAACGAATGAGTAGGGGGCTGTGCGCAGGGAGGGGCCTAAGAGTTGACAGCCCTGGAGGTGAGAGCGAGACTGGGAGTGTGTTCGTGTGTGTCCTGCTTGTGCTCCAACACCACAGACACCCACACGCCCCGGTGAGCAGGTTGCAAGGGCTCCGCCCTTCCAGGCTGTCTGTAAAACTTCAGACAGAAGAGACTTAAGGCGAACTTACTTTGCAAGCACACCTGCATCCGGCGGGATGTGTTAGAATTAGAACCAGAAGACTCGATCCCTTCCCCTCTAATTTTAGTAGCCTGAGTTTTCGTGCCTTCATAGAGTCAAAAGAACTTCAAGTGCTGAGGAGCAATTACTGGAAGCTGAACAAAGGGCACCTACTTTTACAGTTTATCTAACATGTGTAGTTATGCAGTGAGAAAAGATCACCAAATTCCAAAACAATAACTCTAGACTGCAGAGATGAAGGAATTTGACATTATCACACCATCACATTCACGGAGGGCACCTCCTTGGCTTTCCCGAAGCAGATGGCCGCTTGGGAGGAATAAATACCAAACATAATGTCACGATCCACTGTAGTAAACTTGTTTTTATTTATCAATGAAACTAAGGATGTAAAACTATTTTAGATGACTATCAAAACCATAAATCCACCCCCACAGTAAACAAGTTTTAAAGCTTAAGCAGGAACAATTAAGGATCTATATCAGATGCCTTCCATTAATTTCTATGGGGATCAAAAAGAGAAGTGGGAGTCAGATTGGTCTACTCCTAGTGTCTGCCCACACTGAGGAGCTTCCTCTGGTTTCAGGCACTCTCTTTAGGGGTCAGTTTCACTCAGAGGAACCATCCCACTCTGCTTCCTGGTGGACCCTGGACAGAAAGCATACTAGCTTCTTTTTTAAACAATGAAACCCAAGAAAAGTACAAAAATAACATCTAGTACTTTGTACCATTAGGCTAGTGATACCTTATCACATATGAAAGTAAGAGCTGACATTTACTGAACATTGACCACATGCCAGCCACTATTCTAAGGACATTGTATATCTTAACTCATTCATTCCTTATATAATTCACAAGGTAGGTACTACTATTAGGCAACCTGTGTTCCCAGCTGAGGCACAAAGAAGCTAATTAGCTAGTAAGTGGGGAGCTAAGAATCTAAACCAAAAGGACTGGCTCAAGAGTATCAGAAAGCCCTCTGCTCTACTGCTTCACAGCTAAGGATGTGGAGCTCATGAGAGTAGAAGATTTACAATAGCCTACAAATATCTGTGAGATAAGTTCACATCAGTTTAAATAATTTTTTAGAAATGAAGACACCTCACTTTTTTTTTTGACTTTCCAGAATAAACAGGCCAGAAATTTACTTTTTCAAATTTGATATAATTGGCCAATTTTACTACTTTATCATCTAAATGATTCCTCAATTGTCAAATTACATTCTTTGGTGAGTAAAAAGGGCAATAAATGGCTTCTTTCTGGGGACTTTTTCAGAATAGCAAGAACAAAAAAAAATCTCATTAAAATCATGTAAATTTAAAAGTGCTAGTAAATATCTAAGTTGTTAATTTGATTACATCATGATTTCTTTATAGAAATGTCATCTCTGGACACAACTAAATATAAGTATGGAATAACCTCAACACATTAGATTACAGTAATTCTAAATTTACACCAAACACATCACAATGATCAGCACCTAATTTGGATTTAAATGAGATACGAGGCTGCATTAAGGCTTTCTGGTTTGTTTAAATCTACCATAGCCAACTTAAATCATGTATTTCAAAGAAATCTAACTGACCAACAAAAAGAGTTAGTATGATGTTAAAATACTATTTTCAGTTACCAGTAAATAATCGTGACCTATTTGAAAGTTCAACCACCTTGTCTTTGCTGAAGAAAACTTGGTTGTCTGTAAATACTTTATTCTCATGAAATAGTGATCATCATAATTAAGGAATTTTATCTTCAAACAAATCAAAGGCAGACTAAAATAAACTTAGTACTACTTATTTTCAAATATCTATTTGTTGACTTCTTCCTACTTTATTATTATTGAGGATGGTAGTACGTTTTGAGGCTGTGTAGAAGCTTTAAGAAAATGTTCTCAATAAATTGGAAACCCCTAGAACAGGGTATGGATTGTGGGTCTACCAGTTCATCATTATGCTACTGTGCCAGCTAATGGATAGATAGGCCTAGTACAGATTTTCCCTACTTGGTTGAAGGTATGTGTAAGAATCTCTGAAATTTTTATATAAGACTTACTGTTAGTCATGACCTTTTGCCATGTTGTCCTAACTAGAAGACAAAATTGAAAGTGCAATTTGGTAGTGTGAGAAATACCTCTGTTTTCAATAGCTTCACACCCCGGACATGTATGGGACAAGAATTCACCCTTAGCTAATCCGAGCTACAATCCTGTTATACTTGCTTCTCAGTTAAAAAATGGTAATGGACCATATTTTACATTAAATTACAACTTGGAATCACTAACTACATATAATTAATATGCAGCCTCATGTGGAGAGAGAACAGAGATGAAGAAATGTCAAGGCTATAGAGTTCCTGAACCTTCCTCTTTGGTTCCATCCAGGTTTTTCAGGCTGAACATCTGCTACAGTTAGAATATGGTTTGTCCCACAAGACTCCTGCTAAAATTGAATCCCCACTCTGAGGTATTAAGAAGGTAGAAACTTAATCTAACTCATGTTGCTCTTTCATAATATTACCAAAGTGTGAGAACAGGTGTGCCCTGCAAATGTAAAATACCTGTCTGACCCTTCAAAGACATTTCATAAGTAACATGATGAGAAATTACTATGCCTTGATGCTAATATTGGTGCTACTAAGCCCTCACGGGCTTATTAGATGCGTTAACATGGACCTTTTCAACAAGGTGATGAGTAGACACTCTGAAAATTATATGCCATAAAAAGTTTAAAATAATAAAAACAAACTTCTCTGGTCAAGCTACTGATGAACTGATTGTACCTTAACAACAGCCCCTCAACATACTAGGTAGAAAGTAAGATTGTGGTGATTGTAGTATTTCAAGATAGAACATTTGGGGAGTGATTAGGATTAGATAAGGTCATCAGAGTATAGCCCCATGTTTAAATATGGTTATTTTAGGAGAAAGGGGCAAGACCAGACACATCCACACATGCTCCCTGTCTCTTATCATGTGATGGTCTGTGTCACCAATGGACTCTGTTACCAAGAAGGCATCACAAGATGAGGACCCCAGGCCTTGCACCTCATGAGCCAAAATAACCCTTTTCATAAGTTACCTGCCTCAGGTACTTTGTTATAAGAATGAAAAATGGATGAACACAGTACCCAAGACCCATGCTAATCCAAGAGGCAGTCCAGGCTGTTGGCATTAGTGATGCTATCATGGCCAGAAGAAAGAACAGTGAACAGATTTGCACTGATGTTCATCTTAAGCAGATTAAATTCTCTTGTGGATGGATTCCTAATAGCAACAACAAAGCTTTGCCTAGATTTCTATCCCTGGCAGATGTTTACAGTAAAACTCCTTACTGTTTGTGACAGCCTACGTGCTCCTTTATACTGCACACTCCCTGTGCCTGAAAGGTCTTGACCCCAGACATCCATATGACTTACTCCTTCCTTTCCACCAGGTCTTTACTCAAGTGTCACCACTTTCATGATGGCCCTCTTTAAAACTACAAATATGCCCTTGGTTTCCCCTGCTCTCTTCTTTTTTCCAGAGAACTTATCACCATCCAACCTATTATAAATCATTATTTTTCTCTTTGTTTCTAGAAGAGTTATGGAAGCAGAACTGTGTGGGGAGGGAGTTACTGGGGATTGAATCCAGGGCCTTTGCACTGAGCTTCATCCCTAGCCCTTTTTATTTTTATTTTTTACTATGAGGCTCCCACTAAGTCACTAAGTTGCCTAGGCTAAGCTCAAACTTGTGATCTTCCCGCCTCAGCCTCTCAGAGAGCCGGATTAAAAGGCATGTGCCATTTGCCCAGCTGAAGATTCTTATTGGTTTTATAACTTAAATTTCTACACCCTTGCTTAGGACACACTAGAGGACAATAAATACATGTTGAGTGGTATTGAAAGAGTGGTAAATTTTAGGTGGTGCTTGTCTCATGAACTAAAACATGTACCTTCATCAGAAATAGAAACTAAAACAAGAACAGGTGTATTTCTACTGCAAAAGCACAGCCACAGGATAGAAAAATAGACCATGTGGGTACTTTGAACCATATCTACATTTGCACTGAAGCTGGCATGTCAAAATAATATCTTGTGTTATGGTCCTTGCAGAGCAGAGTGGAAAATATTAGTCCTAGTGGTTCCTGGACACTCATTCAGAGGTTAAAAAATTGAAAATGAAATTGATAATGGAGAAAAGGCACTAAAATTTACAGGCAGAAGAAGATAACAAATTGGCAAAGAAAGGTGAAAATCCGTTAACAAGTAACATCTGCAGAATAGTAGGTCTATCTCATTGTCATGAGCAGCTATTCTCAAAAGTGTAAAAGGAATTAAAAAATATTTAATTCAGGAGAAAAGACTACTACCTGTAAATAAAGAAAACTTCGTTTCTCAAAGAAGTTCAGAAGAAATAGGAAGTATTTTAATTTTCACTGGTAATGTCATCAAAAGAATAATCATAGAGCTAGTCCTACAAGGAACTACTTACTAGTTTTCAGCTTTCATCTCCATAGTAATTTGTTACCAGTGACACAAGTGCCTTGAGTGGATACATAAATAGACTTT